AAAAATTATGTTAGATCGGAATAATTGAATGTAAAGTACATATAACTTGTAAGTTCTGAAGTTCTTTGCAAACTCTATCTTTAGAGCTAGTAGACTCTCAAAGAAACTTGGAAACGGCCAGATGCAAGGAACCACACCCTGTTGTGACTTCCAGCGCGTAGTTGTTGGTCACACACCCAAGTTCAGAACTTGTTAGGTACCCTTGATTGGCGTGTCGTCAACAAGAACGCAAAAGCCTGGCAAAAAAAGCCCCATCCCAAAATACATATTTTTAAAAAAAAAATGAAATATATAGAACTTACTCTTTTCAAAAGTTCTCGGGTAAAATCACGGAGTTCTTTTGTCTGAAGTGGCACATCACTATAGCATTCCCGTTACTTATCACACTCATGTTTCAATTTCCTCATTTTTGTCTAGCGTGTGAAACTTTTCTACACAGTAAAAATTCGGTTGGAGGTCTTGTTGGAGACGCTTCTTACTTTTGATGGATTTTATACAGTCAAACCTCTCTAAATGCACCCCCTCGGGACAATAGTGAAAATTTAAAAAATGTGTATTTAAAGAGGGAGTGCATTTAGAGAAGGTGCTTTATAGAGAGGTTTGACCGTTCTACCATTTTATAGACGCGTTAATTTCAAATCATGTGACCCATGTTACTTTATTGTTGCACAAGCTTCGGCTGTCACTTGAGTTTATACTTTTTTTTTTTTCATTGTTGTGACGTTCATCATATCATTATAAAGGTCAAAATATTTATTGCAGAATTTTGTTGCAGAAAATCAATGGAAGCTTGATGAGGAAAGTCAAAGGAAATTTCATGTAAAAATCAAAGTTGATCCTGATCATATTCCTTAACCTTCGAATCGTCATTCGTATTAAAAGGAACGCAAGAAGAAAGTAATCTTCCATTGTTTGATTAGTTAACACGCTAACTGCAAATATTTTTTTCAAATGTTACGCAACCAAGGGTAAACGAAAATGCAAATAAAACTGGAAGAGAGTGTGAGAAGAAAAAGGTTACTTTTAAGGATTCGAATATCTATTAATCATAAATTACGAAAATAAATATTATGAAATCAAATTTATTTAATCACAAACAAAGCAATTTTCTTATAGTAAACTATTAATTTATTAAGAAGCTCCTTAACTAATCACACAAATGCTTATTCCTTTAACTAACTCACTACTTCTCTATTTCTCACCCTTTAAAAGAATTCATCATTTTTCCTCTTTTCTAATAAATATTATCTCATGATTGCTTGAATTTTTTAATAGCAGTAATTGTTCCATTCTTGTTAATTTCTTGATTCTAACCTCAAAAAACGTATTTTCTCCTATAACCTGATGTAGTTTTGAAAGTGCATTTATTCAAAATTAACAGAGTTAACAAAATTTTCGTCTGCCAGCTTCACGAGAAAATTGTCGGTGACAATAATGAGTACATAATAAAATAGTTGAGGATGACAAAGATTTTTCCACTCGTGAAATTTTTTGTTGGACGTTAATTATTTTCAAGTATAATAAATAAATCGTCTTAGGGTTCAGATTAAATAAATAGTGTATGACATTATAAAAAATAATGAATAATAATAATGAATTCCCTCATTCTGAAAATTTCTTAATTCTCATGCCCAAAAAAAGTCCAATAATTAATTAATCAACCAATTTCAAAATTTCCGCATCTTTACAACAATCACTAGGAATTTTCTCATTTTTATCTTTAATATTTGATAATGATTCAAAATCATTTAAATTTTTTAGAATTAGAATCACATCTTTTGAACCATTCTCGAATGCTCTATGTAAACAAGTTTTACCATCCGAGTCTTGTAAAGTGTGTTTTGCACCAGAAGATAACAGTAAAGATACCACATTAAAATGATTGTAAGCTGACGCTCTATGTAATGGCTAATAAAGAAATTCATGATTAGTTAAAGCGTCACAGAGAAATTGTCAAAGTAAAGAATAAAATGAACTTACAGTTGAAAGCAATTCAGGTGTTATGGCATTAACATTGGCCCCATGATCTATTAATGTACGACAAATTTCTAAATACCCCTTCCTTGCTGCGTAATGCTTTATGAAAAGGAAACGGTTCAATTTAATCTATAAGGAATAAAGGTAATTGACAATGAAATGATCATACTAACTAATGGAGTATATCCAGTGCTGTCAATTTCGTTTACCACGGAACCACCTTTCTTCGAAATGATAGTTTTCACTCGAGTAACGTCCTTATTTAAACAAGCGTAATGAATTGATTTTTGAAAATCCAATTCATCTAATGTTTGAGAGTAAGGATTTGGTGCTGAAGAATGCGAACAAGTTTTACCGTCATGACTATGATTATTAACACTCATTTAGTTAAAAGAAAGGTACAAAATGGGGGAAAATATTTATTATTTTTTGTGGCTTAAAAAGTGTGATCGGGGTTGATCGCCAAGCTTATGACGCAACGGGATCATCATCAAATAAGTTGTCGTAATGTCGCGTGTTTTAGATGAATTCGTGACACCCTGTTACATCAAACCAAAAAAAACCAGTCCCAAATCCGTTTGGGCTAATGATCGAATTGGACTTTTCCTTGAATAATTAGATTTATCCTTGTAATCGAATTTCAAAGTATATGGTCGTATAAAATAAGTGATAAACATGTACCTGAATCGGATATCCAAAAAAAGTTGAAAATGACGAAATAAAGAAATTATTATTATTTGTAATAATATATGTAAAAATAACTATTATAAGGAACAAAGTATTGAATGTTCTTGTAAAGTTAATTCTTTGTACTTCATTGCGAATTTGATTTGTTGAACACGAAAAAAAGCCACAAAGCCCCATATCGACTTCGTTAAATAGATTTTTTAAATTTGGGTCGTTAAACAATTCAACAATGAGATATATTTGTAAAGAATAATTAAACAGATTTTCCATGTACGTTATCTGATCTTTTTGTTATCTTTATCTATTTACATATTTCAATGCACCCCAACAGGTTAAAGTGTGATGCAAGATAAGGAAATAATTCACGCGGTGAAGCACAATAGAGCATGTGATCTTGGAGAGATTTTTATTTCCCACATGGTTACAAGTAATCTACTATATTATGAATTAACCAAAGAAAGATTTTCATTATACAACATACCTGGTATGTTTTAAAAAAAAAAAAAAAAAAAAAAGGATGTAACTGCGGTTTATCATATAATCGGTAAAATTCAGTCATCTCAATTATGTAAGAGATAAGATAAAGTCACAAGGGATCTTTAATCAACAAAGGAAGTTGTCAAAGCCAATTTTATGCCCAATTTCCAAATTGTTTAAAAAAGAAAAAAAAAAAACTGCATAATCAATGAGATAAAAATGTTGCAAAAGTTGGATATGACAGATTAACCAATTAAAAAATAGCATGTTACGATCAAAGAAATCTGATGGATGATTTCAAATTATGACTAACCAATTTTTAAAATTTTTAAAGTAAACACATATATTAAATTCCATTGATTCACATATAAAAATCAACTAAAAATTTTTTTTTCATTTCTCTTATTTCTCTTAACTCAGCCATTTTATAAATATTGTAAATTTCACACGTAAAAAAAAATTAGCAAAACAAAAAAAAAAATAAAAATCCTTTCATTTTTTTTTTTAAAAAAAAAAAAAACCTATCTTTTAATAATTATAAACATGACACCGAAAACTGCTATTCATGTTGCTGGAGCTGACGGAGAACTTGGTAAAAAAACATTCTTTTCTTGATAAGTACATTAAAAAAAAATTTTTTTTTAAATATTTCCTTTATTTTTTTGTGTTAACAAGGTGCTTCTATCGTAAGAGGATTATTGGAAATGCCAAACCTTTATCCTCATCTATCAAAAATTCCGGTTTACGCAGGAGTTCATTATGAAACAATGCAATCATCAACTGTATTAGAAGAAAGAGGAGCTTTGGTCGTTGAAGTTGACCCAGTAAATCAACCTGACTCTGTCGTGCATACTTTAAAACAAGCAGCGAAATTATTGTTATTGGTCGATCCATTATCTGGTGAAATCACACGAAAGGATGCTCTTGCTTTCGCAAGAGGGTAAGTTTTCTTTGATAAAAATTAGAATTTATAAAAAAAATTTCGTAAACTTACTTCCTTTATTTCTCAAAATAGATATATACGTGCGGCTAAGCAAGCAAATATTGAACACATCGTGTTCCCAACACCATTTTCAAAACTCGATATACCGTACTCACCTCCACTAACTCCCGTTGATGAAAGTGATGATGAACGCTCAAACATTACGCGATCTCTCTCTCCTTATCGAGATCAATTTGAAACCATCGAATCAATTATACGAGAATCATTTTCAAAATCACAGATAACAATCCTTCGTTATCCCGGTGTATTAAACCAACATTTACTTTTCTTTGCTAGGCATATCATGGAGAAATCTAAAATACCTTTGATTGAAAATCCGGACATGATATTCGAGTGTTGTGACATGAGTGATGTTGTACGCGCATCATGTCATATCTTGTTTTGTCCGGTACAAAGACATGGTAACAAAGAATACAAGATAACAGGTCCCAATTTATTAACAAATGATGAGATATCTATTAAAGCCAGTTTAGGCCTTGGACGAGAAATTAGTAGTGAATTTATGAACATTCAACAAATAAGAAAAGTATTGATGGAGGTGACACCGGATAAGGAAGAAGTCGCTTATCTGTTGGAATTATGGGGTTTACAAGGATGTTTGGGAGCTGCTAGAAAGGTACAAGTTACAAGAGATTTGGAAATAATCACTGGAAGTACTGGGAAAAGTTTAAGGGAATTTTTTGAAAATTCTCGTCATGCTTTCATTTCTCCACAAACGGGTTAGAAAAATGATGGAATGGAAATTTGGAAATTTAAAAATTTTAAAGAAAGTATAAAAGATTTTCTTTTACAAATGTTATTTTTCCTATGTAATCTCGATGTGTTTTTCGATAATAATGGCGGATTTACACAAGATTAGCATAAAAAATATGTTGTATCATATTAACATTATATATATATATATTTTTACACGAAGTAAAAAAAAAAAAAAAAAATAATAATGGTACACACACACATATATATATATCAGCCTATATAGCTGAACTTATATACATTTGGTCATAATAAAATAAATTAGACGTATTTGGTAGGGACTCGGTTATATTTTTTGAGTAAAGATTAAAAAATAAAGGAGCATTCTCATTATTTGGGTAGTAAAGATATAATGTAATTAAAAAGTTGAACAATAAAAAATTTAGTAGATAATGTTGATAAAATAAAAATATTTGATTTGCTTATCAACGGGATCAATTGAAAATCTTACTCGAATGAGAAATTCCTTTCCTAATGATGATGGCATATGACGATACATTAGATAAATAAATTGTAATAAATTGTGATTTGCTCTTCGATTAATCAAAAAACTTTTTTTTTTAGAAAAAAAAAAAAAAATCCAGCCATGTCTCAAAAAACGGTATCTTTTAATGTTGGAGGTACAACATTTGAAATCACTAAAGATCTGTTTAATGCTCATCCAAAGAGTACTTTGTATAAACTAGTAAATGAGTCATCATCATCGTTTGCTTCTCGTCTTAGTTCAAATAAACCTGCACAATCAATCTTTCTCGATCATAATCCATTAGCATTTAGCGTAGTATTAGATTATATTCGATATCATAGGTTATGTTTACCAAAAAATGTTGCAAGAGAAGTAGTTGAATTACAATTACGAGAATTTGGTCTCGACGATGATATTAATTTGATAGTACCAGATCAAAATGTTGCTAAAGTATTTGGTGATGCTAAATACGATGGTAAAGACGAGGTACTTAAAGCTAAGGGAAATAACGTTTTGCCTTCTTATGAACAGGCCTTGAGTGGATTTTCTGCCTCTTACAATTCGAATTCGGATAGGAAAAGAATGGGGAATGATGGAACTTCATTGAAAGATGACGTTATGATCTCTTCTCTCAGAAGGTATAACTTATTCTATTGTTTCTTTTTCCCTCTTTGAATTTTTTTGTTGTAATTTTTGACATATTTTCCTACTTATTGGGATGGATACAAGAATTGATACGTTGGTTTCGGACGTGATTTTACCTTATCTTAAACGTCATGCAAAACGTGGGCATCACCAAGTGACGTTTTACTTGACACCAAACAACGTCACATCAAAAAATATTACAACCGAATTGGAACATTTCGATAATCCACATGAATGGATTCATTTACCAATCGACTCATCCACTTTAGAGAATAATGACGACTTGGGAAATGATTTGCCTGATCTAAAATTTTTGCTTCAAAAAATGGATACGCTCGATCAAATTCAAGATTTTATTATTAGTAAATCCGGTGCTAAGGAATGCAATGTGAACAAAGTTGAAGTTATTTGTAGATATGAAAATGAGTTTGGATTATTTAGTTCTAAAAGTTGGGATATCATTCAAATCTTTGTTGTCATTGTTTAAGTCGTCCATGACTTTATTTTTTTATTTACTGTGTTTGGATTAGATAATTCTAAAAGTTGCAATATAAATTTTTTCTTTTATTATTTGAAATGAAAAATAAAGATTAAAAGTCATCCGTGACTATTTGCTATATAATAACTTTTTTTTTTTTAAAATAAAATTTGGGCTTTAAAATTTTTTATCATGTAAAAATCCGATTTTTGATCACAGAATGATGAAATCATTTTTTTGAATGTATTCGAGTTCAGTCAATAAAAGAATTTCTTGTAATAAGTTTTTGTGAATTTAAACGAATATTAATAAAATCTTCGTGAAGAAAGATGGTTTTCTCTTTATTATTATTCAGTAATTATCTCAAAGTATAAATTTGTTGATTTCATTCTCTTTATGACTAGTAATTGAACTTGTAAAAATTTGATATCAATTTTTTAACTTTAGTATTAGTGTAAACTTATTACTATTTTAAATTTAATTTGATTTTATTAATATTGACTTGTAAGAAATTAAAGACATATTTAAAATCCTATAATCTTAAATATTATTTTTAAAAAGAAAAAATAAAATAAAATTTACTTAAGAAATTTATTAATATTTCAAAATATTTGCTATAAATTATAATAGAATTATATAAATATAAAATAGATCATATTTAATTTTTTTATATATATTAAACATTTATAATAAAATTGATAAATAATATAAATAAAATAATATATAAAAAAGGTAATATTTAATAATAAGATAAATATTTTAAGATATTATAAAAATCAGTAAAATTGACTTAATGATTATTTGTCTTTATAATATACAAAATTAGTATATTTTCAAATCTTCAATATTAATAAAAAAAAAATTTTTTATTAGA